GGGCTAAGTCTTCCTCAAGTACAACCGCTGCTGACTTCACCAAAAAATGAACCCGTAAAAACAAAGTTTTTCACGATAAATCCTTTATATGTGTGGCGGCTACTAGAGTCCTCTCGTCCTCTGGCTTGAGATGGCTGTCACTTATGGGTAAGATGATTGCATGGCACCATTAAGCAATTGGTAATTAAATATAATATTTTTGTCCTAAAAAGTGTAAAATTTTGGGAAAAAAATTTCACGAACATTAATTGTCACGCACAACGAGTCTGTGTGGAAAATGTCAGCTCGATTGGATCACGGGAAGTGGGTTAAAAAACGACCGAAAGATTTGCACGGTCCTAAGCAAGCAAGCGAACTTAATATAAAGGATTTAAACAAGTAAACCCGTGTAGAGGAGTAGTGGAGAGTGGTGGCGTCGTGTGCGCTGTCCGGTGCGGTGACCTCACGGGACGTGGGGTCGCACGCGCTGGGCAGTGCACGTGACATCACCCCTCCGAGGGTATATAAGGGAGACCCCGTAACGTAAGCGGGGTCACTATAGGAACGGGGGAAGTAAACAGGGTGAAGAGGGAACCAGGGATAGTGAGAGGGATCAAATAGGGAGTCTGGGGAGAAGCCGGTGGTAGCCGAAGAGGTGCTTCTCTCTCCGGTCGGTGGAGTCGGCAGACTCCACGATCCGACACGAGAGAGAGAGACCGGAGCTAGCCGGCAGGGACCCAGACTCAGAGTAGGACCCCTAGCCCCTGGGGGTTGTGCACCCTGTGTAGTATTGACCAAGAGTAATAAACCCTGGCGGAAGCCCCTAACCATACCTCCGTCTCCGAGTACGTCCGTCGGAACTTCTCTACAACTGGTGTCAGAGTGTCTGCACTGCTGCTACAATGTTTACATCGGGAGCGGAGCGCAAGAACCCAGCGACGGGACGATCGGAGGATGAAGACGGCGGGGAGGAGGCTTCGGCAGTGACCCCGGAGTCCGGGGCTCCGGTGACAGGCCCCGAGAAGACGACGGGCGGGGGTGCCAGCTCGCCGCCACCACCGCTGGAGACGGGGAGCACCCCTGCAGACCTGCTGAGGCAGCTCCTGCAGGCGATCGCGCAGCTCTGCGCCCGTCTCGACATCGCGGAGGCGAAGTTGGGTCCTCCCGGTCCGCACTCGGGATGGGAGCAACTGTCAACTGCCGGGACGCCGCGAGAGGCGGCCGCCATCTTCGCCGCGACGCCCCAGCTGGCTATTTTGCCTGCGACGTCGCCAGCGGCGGCCATGTTGGTTGGGGCGCCTCAGGCGGCCGCCATTTAACTGCGACGCTGCAGGTGGCGGCCATTGTTCATGCGACGCCGCACGTCGGCGCCATGGCTGCCATGGCAACTGCGACGCCGTTGTCCACCGTGGGTGCCGCCGCGACTTCGTGCCACACCGCGCGCGCGGGGTCTGCCAGCGGCGATGCCACAGCTCCGCACCATGCTGCGCCCGCCGGGGGAGCCCCAGGTACGTCCGGGGCTCCACACCTCGCCGCACCACGGGAGTTGCCGAGGGTGCCGCCGTGGTTCCGGCCATCGCCGCGCTGGCGGGGTACGCTGCGGGTGTCGCCGTGGCCCCGTGCATCGCTGCCGCGGCTCCTCACGATGCCGCGCCGCGGAAGTTGCCGCGGTTCCGAGCATCGCCGTGCCTGCGGGGTTTGGCGCGCCCGCCACCGCGGCTGCTATAGTTGCCGCGGCCGCGGGGTGGGCCGAGGGTCACGCCGGGGCACCGCACCTCGCTGTGCATGCGGGTTTTGCCGCCGGCGACGCCGCACCAGGCTGCTATTTTGCCTGCAGCGATCGCGGTGGGGGCCGCCGGCGACGACGCGGCCCCGCACCTCGCGGTGCCTGGGCGTTGCCATGCCGACGCTGCGGCTCTGCATCTTGCCGCGGCATGGGCAGCAGGAGCCGCCGCTCGGGGCCGGCGCGCGCCTGGCAGGAGCTGCGTTGGGCTGCTGGGCTGCTCAATTGTTCAATTGTTGTTTGTTGGTGTGTGTTGTCTGGGCCATCGGGATTCCGCCTTTTTATTGATGGCAGCGCGTGATGAGAGTTTCAAAGTTTTGAAATTTGATTGATTGTTGTCATGCTGCCTGGATGTTGTCGGTTGGTTGTGAATATGTTGGTTTGTGGTTCTGGGACTCCTCTACTTTTATATTGTTTACAGCCGAGTCGGCTGAATTTTTTTCACAGGGGGGGGTGATGTAGAGGAGTAGTGGAGAGTGGTGGCGTCGTGTGCGCTGTCCGGTGCGGTGACCTCACGGGACGTGGGGTCGCACGCGCTGGGCAGTGCACGTGACATCACCCCTCCGAGGGTATATAAGGGAGACCCCGTAACGTAAGCGGGGTCACTATAGGAACGGGGGAAGTAAACAGGGTGAAGAGGGAACCAGGGATAGTGAGAGGGATCAAATAGGGAGTCTGGGGAGAAGCCGGTGGTAGCCGAAGAGGTGCTTCTCTCTCCGGTCGGTGGAGTCGGCAGACTCCACGATCCGACACGAGAGAGAGAGACCGGAGCTAGCCGGCAGGGACCCAGACTCAGAGTAGGACCCCTAGCCCCTGGGAGTTGTGCACCCTGTGTAGTATTGACCAAGAGTAATAAACCCTGGCGGAAGCCCCTAACCATACCTCCGTCTCCGAGTACGTCCGTCGGAACTTCTCTACACCCGTAAAAACAAAGTTTTTCACTATAAATCCTTTATATGTGTGGCGACTACTAGAGTCCTCTCGTCCTCTGGCTTGAGATGGCTGCCACCTATGGGTCAGATGATTGCATGGCAGCATTAAGCAATTGGTAATGAAATATTTTTTAAAAAAATTCCCTAAAAAGTGTAAAATTTGTGAGAAAAAAATTTCACGAACATTAATTGTCACGCACAACGAGTCTGTGTGCAAAATGTCAGCTCGATTGGATCACGGGGAGTGGGTTAAAACACGACCGAAAGATTTGCACGGTCCTAAGCAAGCAAGCAAGTGAACTTAATATAAAGGATTTTAAAAAGATGCTTCCCGATGTATTGACCCTGTAAAAGTCGAGTCATTCCGTGACCAAGATCTGGATTCGCAGCCTCGCGATTGCCCAGCTTCTGCACTCTTGCCAAAGTGCAACAGTTGATGAACTACCTATTGGAAATTATTGATCGGACTAAACATCATTTGATCCACCGTAGGAATGCGATTGGCCACTGCTGCACTATGAAACAGTGCAACAGTTGATGAACTACCCATTGGGAATTATTGATCGGACTAAACATCATTTGATCCACCGTAGGAATGCGATTGGCCACTGCTGCACTATGCAACAGTGCAACAGTTGATGAACTACCCATTGGGAATTATTGATCGGACTAAACATCATTTGATCCACCGTAGGAATGCGATTGGCCACTGCTGCACTATGCAACAGTGCAACAGTTGATGAACTACCCATTGGGAATTATTGATCGGACTAAACATCATTTGATCCACCGTAGGAATGCGATTGGCCACTGCTGCACTATGCAACAGTGCAACAGTTGATGAACTACCCATTGGGAATTATTGATCGGACTAAACATCATTTGATCCACCGTAGGAATGCGATTGGCCACTGCTGCACTATGCAACAGTGCAACAGTTGATGAACTACCCATTGGGAATTATTGATCGGACTAAACATAATTTGATCCACCGTAGGAATGTGATTGGCCACTGCTGCACTATGCAACAGTTGATGAACTACCCATTGGGAATTATTGATCGGACTAAACATCATTTGATCCACCGTAGGAATGCAATTGGCCACTGCTGCACTATGCAACAGTGCAACAGTTGATGAACTACCCATTGGGAATTATTGATCGCACTAAACATCATTTGATCCACCATAGGAATGCGATTGGCCACTGCTGCACTATGCAACAGTGCAACAGTTAATGAACTACCCATTGGGAATTATTGATCGGACTAAACATCATTTGATCCACCGTAGGAATGCGATTGGCCACTGCTGCACTATGCAACAGTTGATGAACTACCCATTGGAAATTATTGATCGGACTAAACATCATTTCATCCACTGTAGGAATGCAATTGGCCACTGCTGCACTATGCAACAGTGCAACAGTTGATGAACTACCCATTGGGAATTATTGATCGGACTAAACATCATTTGATCCACCGTAGGAATGCGATTGGCCACTGCTGCACTATGCAACAGTGCAACAGTTGATGAACTACCCATTGGGAATTATTGATCGGACTAAACATCATTTGATCCACCGTAGGAATGCGATTGGCCACTGCTGCACTATGCAACAGTGCAACAGTTGATGAACTACCCATTGGAAATTATTGATCGGACTAAACATCATTTGATCCACCGTAGGAATGCGAAATTTCCACTCGTGGCTCTGAGGATAAGCACCAATATATAAAGTGTAATCCCTTGCAAGCGCTTCCAGGCTGTGCTGACTCTGTAGCTATCACAGCGGTTGAAATTATTTGTATTTTTCTCAATTTCGATTGATTCTCTAATTAGTCTTGGCCAGTAATAATTCGCTTCTGCATAACACTTCCACGTTATCAAAATTAGTTGAATGCCCTTGTTGGCAAGCATGCTCTGTCACTGTTGACAGCTGTGTTTGAGATGTAATTACCAGTCAACATCTCATTTGGGTCATTTTTATGTACCTTATACTGTATGAGATTTCTGATAATTTACATAACCAATACATTTTTCACTTTGTTTATGTAAATCGCTCGAATGCCAACGCGAGTGTTTAGTGTTGATGGCGAGTTTAGTAATTAGTCGTACGTACGGTACAAAAAAAGTTTTCCTCTAAAAAATAAAAAAAAATCTCTCTCCGCCTTGGAGCCAATCACAGTTGAGTGTTTCGCCTGTCACGTGACGCGGCGGTTTGTTTTCCCGCCAAATTTTCTGGCTCCTCCCCCTCCTCGCTGGCGGCCATTTTAGAGTCGTGAGGGGGACAAGATGGCGGCCTCGACCATGACGGCGATTCGACAGCGGTCAGTGTCACCACAATCACTCACTAACTCACTCTTACACACTTACACACTCACTATCTCACAGTTACACACTCACAATCTCACTCACTCTCACACACTCACTCTTACTCACAATCTCACTCACTCTCACACACTCACAATCTTTCTCACTAGCTCTTACACACTTACACTCACTCTTACTCACACTCTTACACTCACTCACACTTACACACTCACACTCTCACTCACTATCTCACAATCTCTCACTCTTACACACTTACACTCACTCTGACAATCTCTCACTCACTCTCACTCACTCACTATCTCTCACTGACACACTCACTCTCACTCACACTTACACACTCTCACTCACTATCACTCACTCTTAAACTCTTACACTCTCACTCACTATTTCACTCTCACTCACTCTCACTCACTATCTCACTCACACTCACAATCACGCACTCACAATCTCACACTCACTATCTCACTCACTCACTCTGACTATCTCACAATCTCTCACTCTTACACACTCTTACACACTCACTCACAATCTCACACTCACTCACCACACTCACACTCAATCTCACTCTCTCACAAGCTCACAATCTCACTCACTATCTCACTCACAATGACACTCACTCTTACACTCTCACACACTATCTCACACACTGACTCACTCACTCACAATCTCACACACGCACACACTGACAATCTCACACTCACTCACACACTCTCACTCACTATCTCTCACACTCTTACACACTTACACTCTCACTCTGACACATTCACACTCACACACTCACTATCTCACACTCACTATCTCACAATCACTCACTCACTCTCACACACTCACTATCTCACTCACTCTCACACAATCTCACACTCACACACTGACAATCTCACACTCACTCACACACTCACTCACTATCTCACACACACTCACACTGACACACTCACTCACTATCTCACACTCAGTATCTCACAATCACTCACTCACACACTGACAATCCCACACTCACTGACAATCTCACTCTCACACACTGACAATCTCACACTCACTCACACACTCACAATCTCACACTCACTGACAATCTCACACACACTGACAAACTTACACTCACACACTGACAATCCCACACTCACTGACAATCTCACTCTCACACACTGACAATCTCTCACTCACACACTCACAATCTCACACTCACTGACAATCTCACACACACTGACAAACTTACACTCACACACTGACAATCCCACTCTCACTCACTGCCCCAACACAATGAAGGCTGCACATGGGCAAGGCCGGATTAAGATTGTGTAGGCCCCTGTACTACAAGATGCTGTGCCCCCCCCCCCCCCAGTAATATTTACAAAAGGAAAACAAAGTTAAAGAAAAATAATAAAATGTTTTTATTTTTTACTTTTCTCTTAATATCTTTATAATTCTTTAATTAGTAAAAATAATGACAATTTTATTATTATTTAATTATTACAAATTATAATAACATCTGTTTTTATTGGTTCTTTAGGTAAAGTCACATAGATGAAAAAATGTTTTTTTTTATAAGGCTAACAAGAAATAAAATTCATCATTCACGAATGAAATTACTTTTCACTTAATCTCTGGAGGTCAATACTCTTTGGTTCTTTAGGTAAAGTCACGTAGATGAACAAAATATAATAAAATGTATTTTTTACAAGGCTAACAAGAAATAATATTCATCATTCACGAATGAAATTACTTTTCTCTTAATATCTGGAGGTCTATACTCTTTGGTTCTTTAGGTAAAGTCACGTAGATGAAAAAGATATAATAAAATGTATTTTTTACAAGGCTAACAAGAAATAATATCATTCACGAATGAAATAACTTTTCTCTTAATATCTGGAGGTGTATACTCTTTGGTTCTTTAGGTAAAGTCACATAGAAGGGAAATAATAAAATAATATAAATATAAAACAATTAAAATTCTCATGACGTTTCGACTGCAACACAAGCTATCATATATTTATAGTTTTATTTTATTATTTCCCTTCTCCGTGACTTTACCGAAAGAACCAAGAATATGAAAATAATTCAATCACGACGTTTCGGAGGCAACACAAGCTTCCGTCATCAGGTGGGACAACCAGAGCACAATCACTGCCGTGAGCAGAGAGCTCTTAGTGACACGCTCTTATATAGTAGGGTGAGAAGGGGGAGGAGCCAGGGAGGAGGGATGCAGGGGGGGGGCTCCCTGCACACGGGGGATGTCTCTGTAGTGCGTGTGTGCATGTTGTAATGTGTAAGGTATATCTGCAGTCGATTTCATGTTGTGTGTAACGTGTAAGGTATAATTCTTTGGTTCTTTCGGTAAAGTCACGTATAAAGATAAAATAATAACTTAAATTAAATACGAGCATACGACGTTTCGATTGCAACACAAGCAATCATCATCAGGTATAAATTAAATAGAAAAACAAATCTAGTATACTTAGAAATGTAATGTAATACAACAGGGAGTCGGATAACATAACAATCAACACCCTACCTGGTTGATTACGTTCTTCCTGAGAATGCTAAATTTGAGAGAGAGATTTAATCTCTCAACCAGATAGGGTGTTGACTGTTATGTTATCCGACTCTCTGTTATATTACATTACATTTCTAAGTATACTAGATTTGTGTTTCTATTTAATTTATACCTGATGATGATTGCTTGTGTTGCAATCGAAACTTTGTATGCTAGTATTTAATTTAAGTTATTATTTTATCTTTATACGTGACTTTACCGAAAGAACCAAAGAATAATTCCTGCAGTCACGAAAGCTCCAAATTAAGTGTAAGGTATATTTGCAGAGTCGATCGCATGGAGAAGCCCTCGACAGAGCGCCGTGCTAAAAGGCATCAATGCGACCGGTGTCCCTACAGCACGGATCGCCCTGGACACATGAAGCTGCATGAGAGAACGCACACGGGCGAAAAGCCATTCAAGTGCACCGTGTGTGGGAAGGCTTTTGTATGTTCATCAAATTTTCGAGTTCACGAAAGAATACACACGGGTGAGAAGCCCTACAAGTGCACTGTGTGCATGAAGGCATTTGGTCGTTCAGAACCTCTTCAAAATCACGAGAGAACGCACACGGGTGAGAAGCCCTACAAGTGCACCGTCTGTGGGAAGGCATTCATCTACTCAAACTATCTTCGGATTCATCGGAGAACGCACACAGGCGAAAAGGCATTCAAGTGCACCGTGTGTGGGAAGGCATTTGTCTATTCAAACTATCTTCGAGTTCACGAGAGAACGCACACGGGCGAAAAGCCCTACAAGTGCACTGTGTGTGGGAAAGGGTTTGCTGCGTCAGGACAACGAAAGAAGCATGAGAAGATCCACGAGAGGGTGAAATCTACTTGCGATGGTCAAAGTGCTGCTCCCATGAGTCCATCTCTCATAAAACAAGAACCGGAAGAAACTGACAACTTCGCTACGTGGCCAGGAGTGATGAAGTGTGAAGAAGAGATAACGGTGAAGCGTGAAGGTCAGGGTTCGACTCCAGGAGGCGACCTCCTGGTGGATGGAGTGGACGTGAAGCAGGAGGATGAGAATCGAGATTGTCGCTTGTGATGACCCCGTCGTTTTTGAAAAAGGGGTCACTTCAGCTTTGTCGGCATTACCGGGAAAAAAAAATGTGTTCGTTTAGTAAACTGGAAAAGGACTTTGGCCATATTCCAGGGATCCATTTGTGCGCCGTTTTCTTTTTTTTTGGGGGGGGGGGGGGGAGTTAAAGATCGCGTAAATATATATACTGTATACCCGGTGCGGTTTGTAAACATTGCCCCCTAGGGGGACAAATGCGTTCAGCCGTATTGCTGGCCACCCACCCACTCACTAGTGTATAATGTAACATAGAGACCCATAGACTCACAAAGAGACCCATAGACTCATAACGCAGACCAATAGATTCATCACGCAGATACCCATAGACTAATCACACATACACATAGACTCACACAGAGACCCATAGACTCACAAAGAGACCCATAGACTCGTCACGCAGACCAATAGATTCATCACGCAGATACCCATAGACTAATCACACGTACACATAGACTCACACAGAGACCCATAGACTCACAAAGAGACCCATAGACTCGTCATGCAGACCAATAGATTCATCACGCAGATACCCATAGACTAATCACACATACACATAGACTCATCATTTAGAGACCCATAGACTCACAAAGAGACCCATAGACTCATAACGCAGACCAATAGATTCATCATGCAGATACCCATAGACTAATCACACAAATCCATAGACTCATCATTTAGAGACCCATAGACTCACGCAGAGCCATAGACTCGTCATACAGAGACCCATATACTCACAGACCCATAGACTCCCACAGAGACCCATTGTAATTTTAATAATTGCATTGTGAAAATTCGAAAGTTTTCAGAAATGTTGATTGTGCAATGTAATGTTAGATGTGTCATTACAAAAACGTGTTTGTTGTGTGTGTTATTATTGTTATTTGAAGTTTTCGTGACTGCAGGAATCCATACTCTTTGGTTCTTTCAGTAAAGTCACGTTTCGGGCGCAACCCATTTTATTTATACCTACGTGACTACCGAAAGAACCAAAGAGTATTATTGTTGTGATTTATATTCTTGACTAATATGTATGTTTATGATTATTTGCGATTATGCACAAAGTGTATCGCGACTTGTTACTGGCTCTCTAGTTGTCTAGGGGTTTGCAATGTCAATCGTGACGACATCGATGAATCTCGCTTCAACATTCAAACGCGGCGTGTCGGGCCCAGCACGCTGCCTGTAGAGCAGCCTCGGACAGCAGCCTGCACGTGACCACACCCCCCTCTCCCCTGGCCTCTCCACCAAATACAACGTCAAGTCACTGGGCTTAACCAACAACTTTTACAGCCTGTCGCTCGGGCACTCTATCGGTGTGCGACGACTCAAATCTCCACCTGTTCCACGTCTCAGCTCACAACTCTTAGCTTAGTGCAGTACGACTTCTCCAAGTCCTTCACTCTGCAAGTGACTCGAAAATGAAAAAGCGTCGAGGAAAACTTTCAGCAATACTTAAGTCTGCCTCGGCAAGAACTCAAATCTTAACTACTCGGCGCTTTTCTCCCGGCAAGCTCAACTTATGGATGATTGCGAGAACTGTACCTCAATGCACGTGATGAATGACGTCACAAAGCAGTCCTTAAAGAGCCTCAATGCACGTGGTGAATGACGTCACAAAGCAACCCTTAAAGAGCCTCAATGCACGTGATGAATGACTGTCACAAAGCAGTCCTTAAAGAACCTCAATGCACGTGATGAATGACGTCACAAAGCAGTCCTTAAAGAGCCTCAATGCACGTGATGAATGACGTCACAAAGCAACCCTTAAAGGGCCTCAATGCACGTGATGAATGACGTCACAAAGCAACCCTTAAAGAGCCTCAATGCACGTGATGAATGACTGTCACAAAGCAGTCCTTAAAGAACCTCAATGCACGTGATGAATGACGTCACAAAGCAACCCTTAAAGGGCCTCAATGCACGTGATGAATGACGTCACAAAGCAGTCCTTAAAGGGCCTCAATGCACGTGATGAATGACGTCACAAAGCAGTCCTTAAAGGGCCGCATGCGGCTCCGACGCGTCAGGCTGCCAACCCCCTGGGTCTTGTCAATTGCAGCCTGCGCAATTGTAAGTCTTGGTCATGTAACTTACTAACTGTTCACTATATATTTCACCAGGCAAGGCCCACTGAGATAGAGAGCTCTTTTTTCCGAAAGCGACCTCGCCGAATGAGGTGGCTTGTCACGTGGACTTCTATAGCAGCGGCCAATGCACATGGAGGGGAAAAGCCGGAGGGTGCCGGGAAAAAAAATCCACACAACCATGGGGAGAGAAATATGCAAACTCCAAACATACAGCAGCAGGCGACGTCAGGGTCGAGATCAAACCCACGACCTCCTGTACACCAGGCGAGGTGATCAACATCTGCTAGCCACCATGATGATGAGAGACACTCAAACTCCAAACATACAGCAGCAGGCGACGTCAGGGTCGAGATCAAACCCACGACCTCCTGTACACCAGGCGAGGTGATCAACATCTGCTAGCCACCATGATGATGAGAGACACTCAAACTCCAAACATACAGCAGCAGGCGTCGTCTGGGTCGAGATCAAACCCACGACCTCCTGTACACCAGGCGAGATAGTCAACATCTGCTAGCCACCATGATGAGAGACACTCAAACTCCAACATACAGCAGCAGGCGTCGTCAGGGTCGAGATCAAACCCACGACCTCCTGTACACCAGGCGAGATAGTCAACATCTGCCAGCCACCATGATGATGAGAGATACTCAAACTCCAAACATACAGCAGCAGGCGTCGTCAGGGTCGAGATCAAATCCACGACCTCCTGTACAACATCTCTCATTGTCTGGGATTGAAACCCACGACCTCCTGTGTACAAGGCGAGGTAGTCAACATCTCTCAGTGTCTGGGATTGAACCCACGACCTCCTGTAGACCAGGCGAGGTAGTTAACATCTCTCAGTGTCTGGGATTGAACCCACGACCTCCTGTAAGACAGGCGAGGTAGTTCAACATCTCTCATTGTCTGGGATTGAACCCACGACCTCCTGCGTACCAGGCGAGGTAGTCAACATCTCTCAGTGTCTGGGATTGAACCCACGACCTCCTGTAGACCAGGCGAGGTAGTCAACATCTCTCAGTGTCTGGGATTGAACCCACGACCTCCTGTAGACCAGGCGAGGTAGTCAACATCTCTCAGTGTCTGGGATTGAACCCACGACCTCCTGTAGACCAGGCGAGGTAGTCAACATCTCTCAGTGTCTGGGACTGAACCCACGACCTCCTGTAGACCAGGCGAGGTAGTCAACATCTCTCAGTGTCTGGGATTGAACCCACGACCTCCGGTAGACCAGGCGAGGTAGTCAACATCTCTCAGTGTCTGGGATTGAACCCACGACCTCCTGTAGACTAGGCGAGGTAGTCAACATCTCTCAGTGTCTGGGATTGAACCCACGACCTCCTGTAGACCAGGCGAGGTAGTCAACATCTCTCAGTGTCTGGGATTGAACCCACGACCTCCTGTAGACCAGGCGAGGTAGTCAACATCTCTCAGTGTCTGGGATTGAACCCACGACCTCCTGTAGACCAGGCGAGGTAGTCAACATCTCTCAGTGTCTGGGATTGAACCCACGACCTCCTGTAGACCAGGCGAGGTAGTCAACATCTCTCAGTGTCTGGGATTGAACCCACGACCTCCTGTAGACCAGGCGAGGTAGTCAACATCTCTCAGTGTCTGGGATTGAACCCACGACCTCCTGTAGACAGGCGAGGTAGTCAACATCTCTCAGTGTCTGGGATTGAACCCACGACCTCCTGTAGACCAGGCGAGGTAGTCAACATCTCTCAGTGTCTGGGATTGAACCCACGACCTCCTGTAGACCAGGCGAGGTAGTCAACATCTCTCAGTGTCTGGGATTGAACCACGACCTCCTGTAGACCAGGCGAGGTAGTCAACATCTCTCAGTGTCTGGGATTGAACCCACGACCTCCTGTAGACCAGGCGAGGTAGTCAACATCTCTCAGTGTCTGGGATTGAACCCACGACCTCCTGTAGACCAGGCGAGGTAGTCAACATCTCTCAGTGTCTGGGATTGAACCCACGACCTCCTGTAGACCAGGCGAGGTAGTCAACATCTCTCAGTGTCTGGGATTGAACCCACGACCTCCTGTAGACCAGGCGAGGTAGTCAACATCTCTCAGTGTCTGGGATTGAACCCACGACCTCCTGTAGACCAGGCGAGGTAGTCAACATCTCTCAGTGTCTGGGATTGAACCCACGACCTCCTGTAGACCAGGCGAGGTAGTCAACATCTCTCAGTGTCTGGGATTGAACCCACGACCTCCTGTAGACCAGGCGAGGTAGTCAACATCTCTCAGTGTCTGGGATTGAACCCACGACCTCCTGTAGACCAGGCGAGGTAGTCAACATCTCTCAGTGTCTGGGATTGAACCCACGACCTCCTGTAGACCAGGCGAGGGTAGTCAACATCTCTCAGTGTCTGGGATTGAACCCACGACCTCCTGTAGACCAGGCGAGGTAGTCAACATCTCTCAGTGTCTGGGATTGAACCCACGACCTCCTGTAGACCAGGCGAGGTAGTCAACATCTCTCAGTGTCTGGGATTGAACCCACGACCTCCTGTGTACCAGGCGAGGTAGTCAACATCTCTCAGTGTCTGGGATTGAACCCACGACCTCCTGTGTACCAGGCGAGGTAGTCAACATCTCTCAGTGTCTGGGATTGAACCCACGACCTCCTGTAGACCAGGCGAGGTAGTCAACATCTCTCAGTGTCTGGGATTGAACCCACGACCTCCTGTAGACCAGGCGAGGTAGTCAACATCTCTCAGTGTCTGGATTGAACCCACGACCTCCTGTAGACCAGGCGAGGTAGTCAACATCTCTCAGTGTCTGGGATTGAACCCACGACCTCCTGTAGACCAGGCGAGGTATGTCACATCTCTCAGTGTCTGGGGATTGAACCCACGACCTCCTGTATACCAGGCGAGGTAGTCAACATCTCTCAGTGTCTGGGATGAACCCACGACCTCCTGTAGACCAGGCGAGGTAGTCAACATCTCTCAGTGTCTGGGATTGAA